GTACCAATCACTACAGCTCAGGTGACGTCCAATCACTACATTTTATGACGTTCAATGGGAGAAGACTTTGCTTTCATTCTAAACATTCATATGACTCTTCCAACTTGCAGGGGGAAGAGCTCAGAAAAATGATAGGGGCACCTGCTTATATTGAATGTAGTTCAAAAACACAGCTGGTATGTATGCGTGGATGTCTCATATTATATTACTTTTCTTTTTTACCTGATAGACTTTATAAGCCTCAAATTGAAACTTCTTGAAACATGCTCACTGCAGAATGTGAAAGGAGTTTTTGATGCTGCAATTAAGGTTGTGCTCCAGCCGCCGAAGCAGAAGAAAAAGAAGGGAAGGGCTCAAAGGGCCTGCTCTATATTGTGAGGATACCATGGTGCTTCGTAACTTTATTTCTCTCCTTTACCTCCTTTTATCTTCCTTTGCCTCAGAGGAAGTAGGAGGTCCTCTTCTATGTTAAAATGTCGGTGGCTTGGTCTCCTTGTAGTGCTCTTGTACCTCCTTTTATCTTCCTTTGCCTTGGAGGAAGTGGGAGGTCCTCTTCTATGTTAAAATGCTGGTGGCTTGGTCTCCTTGTAGTGTTCTTGGTATCAATTGTTGAGTCAAGCTGTAACTATTTCATTGCTCTTGGTATCAATTGTTGATGTCTCAGTTTTTTATTTTTATGGATTCATGGAACAAAAAATCCTTTTAGAACACGTATGCTTCGCAACATTGTGTTATATCATTTAGTTCTTATGAATGTCGAAGCAAACATGGTGCAATTCCATTTGTTACAAAGTACGTGAGCTCTGTTTTTGGCTATTCTGTGCTGAGCAATGGTATTCTTGTTTCAGTTGATGGTTGTGCTGACCGTAAAAATACAAAAGATTCACTGCTTAACTGGTAAAAGATTTTAGTGGTTATTGAATGTACCTTAAACTTAAGGTTCTAATGGGTTTGTTGAACTTCATCTTGTCATTCGTACTTTCCTCAATTTATACTTTTATTTCAATTAAGAGACTGCGTCCAACTCCCTTAGCTCGCCAAACAGAAAAATGACGCAGATGCTATGTTAGTGTTTCTGTTTGACAAGCTAATGGACTTTTGGACTGGATGACTTGATTGAAACAAAATTATAAACCTGTCTATTCGTGACAGAAGTAGTTCGATAATACACTGGAAATTGAAATTGAGTCATGCATTCAATGACCCTCAAAGTTTTTAACTGAATTTAGTTGTTTGATGGTATATGTCAAGCAGAAAGGCAGATTCTTGATCTGGTTTCGAAATTTTGATTATCTGGCCTCTGATTCTTTCTGTGATGTGCCTGCAAATATATTGGCAGCGTATTTAAAGATTTTTCATCATCAGGCCATTTGTAGATAGAATATTTCTCTTATTTGTGTTAGAAAATTGTGATACTATTGTTTTATCCTCCCTTCTGTGACATATGTGAAGACTGTTATCTAGGTGGTGATCCACTTATTCTCCACGAGCATGGCACCACCCATAATTGCAGGCGGCATCATCTTGTTATTCTAAATTCTTTACAGATTTTAATGGATTTTTCAGATTACATGAAGTCCGGGCCCGCCATTCGCATTCAGTTTGAGTTGGCAATGAAAATTTTGATAAAGAATATCTTTTTTTCCCCTTCTATCGCATGGAAGTTGGTCTACTTCATGATTTAGTCCCTGTTCCGTTTAGATAAAAATCACATATTTAATAAAATTTGATAAAAATTAATGGAATATGTGGTGAAAAAATTGTAAACAAAACAGGGACTTAGTTCGTGATACAAGAGCTCAATGTATAAAATTTCCGAGCAATTCGAACAAATAGTATATCTGACTACTATATGGGTTAGTCTGGCACGTAGGTTTTCTTTGGTTTTTGGCTTTCTTAACTCACGTTCGGTGCACTGCCGTGGTTCCTATTACACCATCATCGAAAGTTGCCTCTCAATTTGTGTTGGGGAAGTGCAAGTCTTGGTGTTGGTTTGATCATTCTAGGTTCAAAACATCCAACTACTACAGTGAGAAACAATCTACAACTAGAATGCACGTCCACATCAAAGTCAGAAAATTCCTAATATAGGTCATTCAAAGCTCAAGGAAAACGGATTTCTAATCGTTCTTAGTAATAGCTAGATTGAGGTTTATAATCAAGTGTTGAATTAGCTTAGATAGTATATTATCGACAATCCTTCGGAGTTGTATTTTCCATTTGCTGAAATGGTAAAAATTCAAAGAAAAACTAGCTAGTAGCCAGAATCTAGTTCACTGTTTAGAGGTGACTGTCTCACCACAGGGGTGGACCTGAGGGTTCTGGGGTCACGTGACCTCCCAACTTTTGAGATTTTTTTTGGTTGATAAAAGCATATTTGATATCGATTGAAATTTAAATTTTAATCTAAATCAAAGTTAACAATCAATTTTAATAACATATTTCGTAAAATTCATAACTGTTTCTCTCTTATCAAAATTTAATAAAAAATTGATTTTAATCACCACAAAACAGGGACAAATTCACAATAAATTTGATTTTTTATCTCTTTTTTCCTCACGCCTATTAATAAAATCTTAACCCTTTTAATTTTTTAAAATTTGTATATAATTTACCTACAAATTATCACATTTACTACAAATCTTCATTTTCCAATCAAATTTTCAAATAATTAGAATCTAAAATTGTTCTTTTCTCCTATCAAACTGTGTATATAAAATGTGTCTCNACAAATTATCACATTTACTACAATTAGAATCTAAATTTGCATTTTCTCCCATCAAATTGTGTATATAGAACGTGTCTGAACTCATTATATCCAATTTGACTTATATTTAACGAATTGTGTTTATTTGATTGATTATTAGTATTGAATATTAGCTATATGTTTTTCCTTTTGGTTACTTGAATTGATTGTTTGTATCAAATACATTATACGATTTTTAAACGTAAATAAGCATTTTCTTGTGATTAACAAAATATTAATAAAACGATTTTTCGAAATCAAATGGATGAAAATGATCAACAAAATATTAATGAAGACTTATTTTTTTAAATGTAAATCTGCATTGTCTCAATGAGTAATGGTATTCATTCCCAGTGGGGATGAATAGCATTACTCTGTCTCAATTCAAGTATGAATCATTTAAAAATTAAGAACAAAGTATTCGATTTGTACATGATTTAATTGTGCCCCCTAACCTAAAAGTCTGCATCCGCCTGTGACTCACCAAATTGAGTAATGTTCACAAACTTTTACTAAAACAATATCATAATCATTGAAACCTACTTGATACAAGAATTGGTGCTCAATTAATTACGTCATAATCATTGAAACAGACATGATACCTAGTGCTCAATTAATTACACATTAAAAAAATAAAAATTTAGAATGAACTATCATGACCAGATTTTTCGTGTTTGCTATATTTGAATAAACAAAATCAATAAATAAGATATGCATTTGAGAAAGATCAATTTGTCAATATCGAGTCCACCATATCAAATACTTCATTATAATAAATATATCTATTCGCATAGTCACATGCAAATGTTGGGATTATTATCATCGAAATCATGTGCCGAAGTAGCTCAATAAACCCTAAATTTATACGATCGAGCAAGATAACAACGATGTCCATTAATTTACAATGAATTACAGCTTGTTTAGTATATTTATCTAAACTGGATAAAAGAAAACCCTCAGGCTTCAACACTAGTGTTGTCTAAAACATGCAGGCAACTCCTCAATACATAACCAGACAAGCATTAATTGGAATTATCATCCTTAAAATCCCCAAGTTGCACATGAGCTCTGCAGAAGTAGCTCAACTACACCCTAAATTTAAACGATCGAACAACATAATAACAACATCCATTAATTTACAATGAACTACTATTTTACAAAACACAGCTAGTTTAGTATTAAAGAAAATCCCTAAGACAGTTAACGCCAACCATTGTGCAGCCCACCATACGAAACATACATACAACTCTTCATCACATAACCACACAAGCGTTGATATTCTCATCGCTAAAAGCCGTCGTGTACCTCACTTCTTCAGACGAAGCTCGTGCGAGGCTCGAAGGCTGAGGATTGTCGTAGACATTACGCACGTACCCGAGCGGCGCCTTCTTATCGTAGACCCCGGGGGCATAAGGATGTGGCACCATATCATAGGGCACAAAAGGCCACATCTCAGCCTTCTTCCCAGTACGATGCACGACTCTGCGCAACACTTTATCAGGATCGACATGACCAATAACAGTAAGTTTTTGCATTTTTGGCTCGACTAATACTTGTGTCACCCCTCTCATGTGTTGCACTGATTTTCTGACTCTCCTCTCACACCCTTCACAGTCCATTTTTATCCTTATTTCTACTGTCTGCAGATGAAAAAAAAATATATAATTAATTTGCAGTTCATTTAAAAGTTTGATAATCTTACTGCAATCGATGTAGCAGCCATAACTAAAACAAGCCAACATAATGAAACAGGGAAAAAAAAAATAAAGGCAAAGATAAGTACCCGGAGAGGCTTCTTTTTAAGTTTCTTGAGCTTCTTTCTGTCACTCCAAGAAGATTCAAAATAATTTGAGAATCTATCCAAAAACCCCATCCTTGCTTCAAAATTAATTGAGCAGTCTTTAATGCAGACGCACCTTTATATATACATATACAATCGTACATCAAGTTTAACACTGTTATAAAGTGACGATTTTCTATATATTAATTTTATAAGCAATCAATTACTCAGATTTTGCCACATAACAAGGTGTACACCTAGCTCAATTCATCCATATAATTAATGTGGCTTCTAGATTCTGCAATTTATTGCTGCCGCCATTGAAATTTGAACACATGATAACAGTTGTAAGTGTAAAATGCCACCACGTATCAAAGCCGGATGGGACCCTGCAAGCATCATAATTTGAGTTTACTAGGTAAGTCCAATGTTTTTCAAACAAAATAATTACAAAAAAACATTAAGAATCAATTTGGCAGGACTTCGAGTCTTTAAAATGATAAAAAATTCACTCGACCCTCTGCAAACGTAACTGTACACTCCTATTATCATGAGATGAAAGCAAACACGAAAAGTCATATCGAAAAAAGTTTGGTGTGTCAACAAGACAAGTAACTAAAATTAATTTCTATACTTTATATTTATTTGTGAGTTATTTCTTATTTTGATTACTAATGAAA